ACCACTAGTCCACGCACTGGTGCCAATTCGTGGGAGATTTCCTGCTGGTCCATGGGGGGGGGGGGCACATCCTACTTGTTGTGGACCAGCACAGGGGCTGACTTTGCTCTACCACCTCTTCCTCTGGCATCAGGTTTGCAGGTGTTGTGCTGGTCCCACTAGAAGGGCAAGATGGCTCAGTGGGAGCTGGCTGGGAACCACACTTTGGTATTTTGTTCTTTTGTTGGAATTTTTTGTTGCTTAGTTTCTGATTGCTCAGTTTCCTTTCCCTTCCTTTTCTTTCCCTCCCTCCATCTATCCTTCCTTCCTTTTTGTTGGTATTGTGATACTGTATTATGTGCTTTGTTTCTGACTCAGCGGTCCCCAAGGTGGTTTTCCTGTTTTTGCATGTCCCAAGCTGTGGAAAAGTGAAAAACCACTGACATAGACCACAAATGATCCCAAACTTTGGGCAAGTCCCTTCCAAGAAGATGTTCATTACTACCATGGACATTTCTTGCAACTTTGGACATTTATGAAAAGCTGGAATTACTAAGTGGGCCCTCAGTATTTATATTATGTAAAATATTCAAACTTCATTAAATGAATGCATTTAAAATAGAAAATGTTTGATAGAAAATGTTTAATTTTGAAAATTCATGTAGTTTAAATCTGTTGATCTTCGTGACTTGCTATTTAGGTATCTTGAATTTATAACCCTATCTACTCTTCAAAGATCAGTAATTTAATGAAAAAGCCTCCTTTTTAGCATCCTGATTGCCTCTTCCTAAGAACTTTTTCTGTTCGTTTTAATGCATGATTTATGGTGTTAAAAATCCAGTGAGCACAGTATCATTAGCCATTTTGCACCTCTTTTCTAGAAACTTCTCCATCAACTATATCCATTCCAGAAGTATTGCCTGCCAATTTTTAATTACAGGGCCAGATAGAACAACTGAAGACCAGTTGGCATCACTTGTACCACTAATTCTGTAGACAGAAAGACAGCATGGACCTAATGTACACTCTGCTTTTGTATGCAAAACCTTTGTGTATCAGTGAAGAACAATGTGTGAGAAAGAAAGTGTTTTTCTACACATTAATAACCCAGGATGAGTTCACCATCTGGCACAATTGATCTCACATCACTGAAAAGTTGTAAACACAAAAATTCATAAAGCTACTTTAAACAAAGCCACTTTCTGCTGTGTACTTTACTCTCCACTACATTAACTGTGATATTTTCCCTCTGCAACATTGACATTCATCTATCTTTCTCCCGTTTTCTCATGCTGGCCAAACTGATCAAGTGTTTCCCTGTAACAGCAGGAAAAAGGAATTGTAAGGTTTTTATTTGTACTGTTTTGAATTCTTTACAGATATTTCACTAAAAGAGGTCTGGTGACACCTTAATACATCAGCACATGTTCTATGTACTATTATTCCACTATAAGTATTTTAATGCTTAGATAAGTGAAAGCCTGTTCTAGAATCTATATGATGTTCATACATAGCCATACAAACTGATCTGACAGCCAAGCTTGTAACGCACAATGTCAGGCTAAGAGCAAAGGCTATAATTGATTCCATCTGTACATGACTAAAGGATAAAGATGCAAATAGTTCACTCCAAACTTATATTGCATCTAGTTTACTAATAACCAAAACTGATATCTAGTGCCAGCTTTTTGGTGTAATGATACTATCATGCAACACATTGATAGAGGATTCACTACATTATAATACTTTGTGAAGCTACTCATACTTCAGTTTGAAGGGCTTCATCTGAACTTGCTCCCTCTGTCCCCCTATTTACTCAGCATGATGCCATTTAGTCCCAAGACTCTCATTTTAGACAGTCAGACAGCATTGGAATTATCAGTACAGGATACGTTGTTTTTAACTTAGTTATATTAAACAAAGAACTTAGTTGCCAATACTACAGGCTTCATGAAGGTCTGTCTGACAAAACCCGTATCTGTGTCCTCCTCCCTCCAGTTCAGTCTTTGTAGTTGTTCCCTAAGAGTTGGAAGCCCATTATAAACTTGCAGTCTCTTTTTAGCATGTCAGTGTGCATGTGATGTTCAGCTGATGAGACCCTAACGTACCTGATGTTGGCTTTAGGAAATTTAAAAAAAAAAACTGTTCTTTTATTCTCCCTGCGCAGACACACTTTTTGTGTTTGTGCTAATCTAGCCTCTCCTTTTTCATTGGGCTAGGGTTAGGTGTGGCAATATCACTGTGATTCCATTATAAATTTGCCATTATCCAGTGTTGTTATGAGGAGAAATAGAGGGGAAAAATCTCCAAGGAAGTAATGAATAAATACAACATAGTATTGATTTTATTGTATTTGTTTCTTTAATTGTATATATTGTTTCGAAGACTTCAGCAATAGGGCAATTTATTAACTGGTTTTAAAAAACACACTAAAAATGGAATATTAACTGGACTCAGTTTGTACTACTTATTCCAGCACTACTGAAATGCTAGGGCAGGACAACCAGTGGCCTGGTCTAGAATGAAGTCAATCCAAATATGACGTGCTTCAGTATTTATCTCCGAAAAAGTGATGACTATAAGTACCTGGGATCAAAATGCGTTTTTATAGAGCTTTTTCTGTAACATGTTTAATGGGTCATCTTGTTTCAGATTGTTCTTAATTTTTCTGCAATAGGCTATGCTTCCTTTTACTACATCTCACAAAATCTTTCAGTCTAAAAAACTGTAACAAACTCCATGAAAATATAAACAATGTCATATAAAATGCTTCACTGCTAGTAGATATTTACCCATTAATATATGTTTTGAAGTGGCTGCCAACCTAGAAACATTTCCTTGGCAACTTGGGCTGGTTTGGAAACACTAAACATTTTTTCATTTCTCTTCTGTCTGCATATATTCCTCCATCTGTCATGTTCTGGTGAACAGCCAGACTCATACCATATTCTTTATGGTTTTTCATTCTCCTTTGTTTTCATTACTTGAAATTAGTCCAAGGTAATCCTCAGTCTATGGCTGATGTTTAGTAAGGGTAGTATAAAATTAACACCCTTGCTAGTATTTTTTTAAAATGCATGCTATGTACACTAGGTGCAGCTATTATTATTATTTTATGCAGAGAGCTGGACCTGGAAGCATCCTAGCTCTTTCTCTCATAATCTCCTTTCCTCACTCCCAAGAGGCAGACATTCATCTTCATTATCCTCTTCTGCCAGTCTGCTGCCAACTGCAACCAGGAAACTAGCCGCATTAGTCTTGCATGGCAATTCAGGAATGAAGCCACACTTCTAGGGTGAAGGAGGTTAATGCATTAATAAAGTTTGCACCTTGATTACGCACATCATTTCAGCTAACCTGGTCCAGGCCAGTTTTCAGACAATTGTCATATCACATGGCCCACTGCTTTTGTTTAAGCACCTAACTTCCAAATAGAGGTAGAGATGCTGTAGAGAATAGATCAGGAGTTTTTCTTCCCTTTTAAGCATGTTCTGCCTTTTGGAACAAGAAAAGGTGGATTTATATGATCAAGAACAAGTAAACATAAAAGACACCAGCATAGTAAGGGGGGAGGGGGAATGCGAAAAGCATATCTTGATAAAAGACAGATTATTCCAGAGACAAGATGTTGTACGAGTTTGTTATTATATGTTGACCATCTTGTTTGTTTTATTGAGATCAGTGAGGAGCCTCATTTACAAATTAACATCATCTGCAATGATACTTCAGAACCTGTAAGAACATAAAAAGGTCCCTGCAGATCAGATGTAGGATCTGGTTACTCCAGCATCCTGTTTCCAACCATGACCAGACAAATGATTCTAGGAACTCCCATCTTTTGGTCTTTTCTCACAGATAACTGCTATAGATTTAAAACATGATTTAATATTCTTCTATTCACATACAGCAGAGAGATTTTGATCAGTTAATTTTTTCAGATTAGGTCTGGGGGGGTATGGAAGGGGAGGATAGGTTTCCCCTGTTTTAATCCTGAGATTCCATCCCCCATGGGGGGTTTGTTAGAAAAGGGGGAAATGCCTCTATTGGGAGCGTGGTTGAACCATGTATGTTTAGAAGAATGTTTTGTTTAATCCTCAGCAGGTGTATTGAAAGGTTAGATTTAGTTATTTTGGTGAAACATGAATATCTCATATACTTAAATAGGTCATTATTCTATAAGGTTATTTAACCCAGTTAGCAAACTCTTATAAACCACTGTGTTGGTGATTTATAAAATGCATGATAATTTATATGAATCATGTGTGAAGCATTTCCTGTATTTTCCCTTACCTGTTTAGAGGTTGGGCTGTGGCTCTTTTCAAAAGCTCTTCATTCTCTATCCCCCACCACACCCACCACTTGCCAGTTATATGTGTTTGGGCTTGGGTGTTTCTTTTCTTGCTTCCCTATTTGCAGAGAGTAAATGACTGAACCAGGAGAAACTGCACTCAGAATCTCATTGACATACAAAAGGAAATCCTCTGGAAAGTTTCATTTCTCATGGCCGAGAAATGCTATATGTCGAATATAGCATGTCCTCTTGCCTGGATAATTCATCCTGCAATGAGGAGAAGAATGAATATGCCAGATCTGTTTCTAGGCACAATCCCAAAGTGAGAAAGATGAAGAAATAATTGGAACAGTTTCTGTCTTTAAAGTATTGTGTGACTTTAACAAGACAAAAAGAGGGTTAGATCCAGTTTTCAGCATGTGCATTTGAGCTGGTAGACCCTGCCTATTCTCAATAGTCAATATAAGCATAATAATTTATTATCTAGCACATAAGTTGATAATATTCTAGGCTCTTTTGTACCTTATATACTCATTCTTAAATATATGTTCAGTTTCCAGAGTAATGGTCATGCTAGTCTGTTGCAGCCAAAACAGTAAAGATTAAGACACCTCAAGACACTAGGTTGTTGCAGTGAGTCACACACTATAATTCATGTCTATTCCCAATTAGTGTGTCATGATTATCTTAAAATATTAAATATTACTTTGAAATCTCTCCTTTTTTCAAGGAAATGACCCATACTTGGCCTGCACCACTTTCTGCAATACATACGCCTGGTAAAGTAGAACAAAACAAGTTTCCACTCACAAACAAGGTAAATAGCTTTTGCTTTACCATTACCAATAGTTGTGAACTATGATCTTGCAATTGACCCTATCATTTTTTAACATCCAAGTTTGCTAAAAGGGATGTGTTGTGATACACTTCCAAATTGTGAACTAAAATTCACAATGTATTAACATTAACAATTACAATATCAGAAAGGTCTGATATAGTCTGGAGCTGGAAAGGATAAAGAAACACAAGACAAACCTCTCTTAGGAGAATATTACAGTTGAGGCACCAACACTGCGAAGCCGCCTTGAGACTTTGGAAGTAGGGAGTGTATAAATGGAAGCATAAATAAATAAGTTCCTTCTTCTTGTAACAACCTCTTCACTTCCTTCAAGTAGGCTCTCAGAGAAGGACCTCTGTAGAACCTTAAGGACCAGGCAGATGTATACAGAAGGAGGTAACCTTTAGATAACTGTTCACTAAACCATTTAGGGCTATATACTGTATGTTGTTATCAACCCCTCAAATTGGGTGCATTAGCACTAATTAGCATTATATGTAGTAGCTTCTGAATATTATGCTTCTTTAATATAAAGCTTTAGGCCTTTGCCTTTAAACATAGCGCAATAATCTGCAACAGATTCACAAGTTTGTATTATTATGGACCAAATATGAGGATTTTGATCATTTTTTTCGTTAGGTAAACCAACTTGCAGACCATTGTTTCACCTTCCAAAACTGAACACTAATTTAGTTGTGCAAAATATGAAAGTTGCTGAAGACTATGCTAATATACAGTATGTGCTACTTAAAAAAAAAAAAGTATGCATCTCTGATCTCTCTCTTCATACTCCGTTTGTACAAGCAAAAGATTGTAGCGGTCTTTGTGTATGTGTGCTCTGCTCACTGATCGTATACTGAGTTAAGAAAAATGCACAAAATATGTGCCTGCAAAAGTTTAGTAAATTGCAGCAGACTTTTTAATGTACTTTTCCAAAGAGGAAAAAAAAACCTTATTCCATCAATCAGGAGATGACAGAGCAAAAGACAGATGACAATCCACAAATCATAGTCAGAATAGATTTAATAAAGCCCCTTCACACAGCCCCTTATGTATTATAGCTATTATAAGTTCTTTGGGTTGTGTTGCAATGTTAAGAATAAGAAGGTGCTCCCTTAGTAAGTATAAGATTTCTTTGGAGCTTACAAAGCTTGTTGCTTAACAGGCTTGTATGAGCATTTTCAAAACTTAAGGATTAGCTTATTGACATAGAGTCAACAATCTTCCTAAAAACATGTTCCTGTAAATTTGTGGTGTAGGAATTCATAAGGGAAACAACACAAAATATATTCATAATATAAAATAAAAATTGAGTTGAATTGCTTTTTAACATTATTTTTCTATCCAAGTATTTTTTCTTCTATTACTGGTATTTTAGTCATTTAAATATTTCAAATGTTACACTAGTTTTATTACAAAGCATTGGCAGCATGTTCTCCCTGCCTTCCATCTCCCTATATCTCTCTATCTGTCTATAGAACTAACTGTTTAAAAGCTGTTTTTAAAAGTTTTACCAGTTTACAGACCCACTAATTTATTATTCTGTCTAACTAGGAATGAAAGCACTACCATGTGCCCCCAAGGAAGAAATATATCCAGTGAATATTCAGCTTATCTCAGAATGTGTTATTTCTCTCTGAAATTTTACACATAACCACTGAATTAGGTTCATGTAATTAGCACATGTAACAGAGTCAGTAATAAAGGTCTCAGTTTATGTCCAGTATGCTTGTCCCCGTACTCCATAGAGAGTGGCTTTGAGGATGTGCAGAATCCTCTTTCCTCTGACTAAGTAAATTCTGTGTGCCTCAGTTACAAACTTGCAAGTGAGAGCTGCAAGAAAATACTGAACTTTGGAGTGATCCCCACCACGCCATCCATTTTCCTTTCATTCTTTGTTCCTGCCCCTGGTTTTTCTTTTCTTTTAGTCATGCACGATCAGTCCCTGTAAGACTTTTTTTTGGGTGGAGGGTGGACAAGGTTCCATCTCCAAGCTCTCTTCTTATCTAAACAACTGTAATACTTCTGCAATCTTGGGTTTCCTCAATTCTGCTGCTACCTCGCTCATGGGTATGGGTGGTGCCATTTTGGCTACATAAGTATCATGTACTATATATAGTATATAGGCTAGTGTATCTTAGTAGTAGACTAGTAGCTGTTAGTATATAGGCTAGCATAATCCTCTGCCAAACTACTCAGAAGATGCTGGTTTGAGTTAGATTTATATCATCGTAAGTGTGTATAAGAATTTAGCCTTGAGCACCACTTAATCATTTTTTAAAACTGGATTAACTACAACAAAAAGTCAAAGAAAATAAAATGTAATCTAATCTTATGTGTAACACCTAAAATAATTCATCTGATCTGCAACTTCAGGCCCCCAGGTCAACCCTTTGAAATATTTTAAAGTATTTCCAACCTAGCTATTTTGTGTACACATGTGTGCGTGCGCACACACAACCCCTTTCATTTCCACAGAACAAACTGCATGAAGCCTTTTAATCAAGTTTAATTTTGAATTGCTTTCTAGATTTATTTGCCCTAAGTCTGCCTCATTTGCACATTTTGCTACCTTTGCTTTGATCTTTGTAGTTCTGTCAAAACTCTGTTCCCTCTCTCCACCCTTTTCCTTTCTGCCTATGTGCCCTTTCCCTGGGCAATGAGCATACTAGTCATTGTGTTCTTCCAGTGCACATTGGCAGCACATGGTTGATTCTAAATGTTGAAGTAAATGTTGCACTATGTAGTTGTTGATACATGACTTTAGTGTATCATATCTTAAGTGCCATATTGCCCCAGAGAGACAGAGCGTGCCAGAAGAATAAAAAACCTCATAAATTGGACCTCTAAGTGGCTTGGTTTGCCTTTGGAAAGGTTTCATCTTACTTAGGAGGTAACACTGATAGAATCTAGAGGGGGAAGCGGTTGCAACAATTCATGCAAAGGGAGACAGAAACATTAAAGTGTTTCCTGTGTTTGTACTGATGTGGCAAATATCTGGATAATGAAGTAGTAGTTTTTGCTCATTTGTGTTTAAAATATAATATTGATGATGTTAGCCCTCAGGCATACTGAACTACCTTTAACCTGTACTTCAGCTAATTACTAGCCTGACAGCTTGAAATTTACACTGTATTAAAATAGGCAATTAAAATTCCACGGGCTGTCTTGAGTGTAGCTGAGCTTATTTGATGTCATTGTAGAAATCAAAGCTAAATAAGTATCTTAAAATTTCATGTATATTGTATATGCAGTATAACAATAAAGGGAATGTAATGTCAGTTTAGACTTACTGACTGGAGTCTAGTTAAGAAGCTAATGCTGTGCAAGGCATTCCACTTGTACAGCTGGCTTTGTCTTCCAGTGCTATCTTCTGCTGAATTGATTTTGAAACTTATAGGTTGATGAGGGACACAATGCAACCTGGCAATTTGGTGAAGGAGAATTCCTACACAGGAATTAGTAGGAAAAGCTACTTATGTGGCCTCGTAGATCAAGGTCACCACGCCACTGCAATTCTTCATTGTGAATTAAACATTTTCAGTTTTACTAAGAGGAGGACCTGGACATGAATATGTCTTTTGATTTTTGCTTATGCATTTGTTGGATTTGAATAAAATATACAGGAAAATTGAAGAATGTTACATGCTAGTTTTTGAAGTTTCTAAGTTCAAATGTATTTTAAAAGGAACCTCATGTGACATCCCTTGGTCTACCTTCAGTTTCTCATTCATGCACACACTTGTATTTACCTTCCCCTCCTTCTCCTTCTCCAAAGCAGTTGTCTTCAACCTTTTTGGCACCAGGGACCAGTTTCTAGGCAGACAATTTTTCCATGGACTGGAGGGGGTAGTGGTTGCAGGATAATTCGCGCTCCTTCTATTTATTGTGCACTTTATTTCTATTGTTATTACATTGTAATATATAATGAAATAATTATACAACTCACCATAATGCAGAATCAGTGGGCCTCCCCCCAACCTGCTGCCCAGCCTTACCTGCTTCCCAGTTCGCATGCCACTTGCATGCACCCTCCCTGGCTTCTCCACGCCACTTGCCACCTGGCTGAGCCGCTGCCACCACTCCCCCCTCCCTTTGCGGCCCCAGACCCAAAATGGCCCTAATGATAATCTGTATTTGCAGCTGCTCCCCAGCGGTGATGCTAGCGCTGCGGAGCAGCTGCAAATACAGATGAAACTTCGCTCGCTTGCCCACCGCTCACCTCCTGCTGTGCAAACCAGTTCCTAACAGGCCACAAACTGGTACTGGTCTGTTGCCTGGGGGTTGGGGACCCCTGCGTTAAAGCATTTATATACTGTTTGATTAGCATAATCTCAAAATGTTTACACATATTATTTCACTTCAGTTTTATCATTTGAAACTGGATACATTTTAAACAACTGTAGAAAGATTTAGTGATGGGCAGGACTCCCCAAGTCTTGATTTGGAATGTGTTTTCCTATTATGAGATGAAGTGTGTCCTGGTTAGGCCAAGTTCACATTTAAGCTACTATTAAGATAAATATCACTGTGCTCTGAGTTCCACATCTAGCATTGCTCACAGTGGTGTTGCTGGGAACATGATGACACCTCGAGGCCTTTTTACCCTTATTACTTCTGTTGAGACCCTTCTCTTTCCCCACATTTTCCTTCCAGCAGGAGAAATATAGACTTACATTAGGTTCAAAAGCCTTGGAATTGTTGGCATATTGGAATGCCGAGTAAAAACCAGGGAGTCTTGGAAAACAATAATTCAAGACATCAGAATTCTTACCAATATCATTTTTGGTAGATATGGACCTAATTCATGATCAAGGAACTAAGAGTAAGTTTCCAGTACAATGATTTCTGGGAAATTTCAGGTACTTCCTTATTGAAGTGTCTACTTTTTGCTAGGAACTTGTTGATAAGGTTTTTGTGGGAATTTGGTGTCAAAAATAGTAATGAACTGAAGGAACTTTGTTTCTAAAACTACCCAG